AACACAGAGGAGTCCTGAAACAGAAAAGAATTCGGGAGTGCAGAGACTCAGTGTGACTCTGATTATGTTTTTAGTGATTTCACATTTTCATTTTGTACAATTTTTAGCGAAAGTCACCAGGCTAGACTCCTGAATGATCAATCAGCCATGACTATGATAAAGGACAAAAAAGCACAGTCCTCAAATGATATTGAGGGTTGGTTGTTTTGAGCTAATGTGTGTGAGATGTCTTTCCTTCAATCCGTGATTATTTCAGTTTAAGTATAAAGGTGTGTTGGATGAGATCAGTGGGCTAGTGTAGACTCTTGTTAAAGAGTTTGAACCAAAGTAATCACGGATATAGACATGAAGTACATGAAAGGGGATGTTTTAAAAAAACAAGGGGTTTCATTTGTGGAAGAATGGACAGGAGTGGCCTGCAGCCCTGTTGTCTTCTGCAGTAGCATTACGTATCGAGGGTCATGTGCTGATAGAGGAGAAGCCATTTCACTGCATGGTCCTGTGTAGTAGAGTGCATCTTACCTGAATAAGCATTCAGTGCATCTAAAAATAAATGCCAAATAAATCCCAGMGGGGAGGAAATGAATTCATTTAATGTGACTGTAGTTAACAAACAGACACAAGAAAAAAAAGTTTTCCCCATTTTTACCTTAGAATAAACTTGTTTATTGCTTTTCTTTGAGCCACACATTTTGATTTTTTTAATTCTTGTTGAAATTGTTATAATGTCAGCTCTTTTCAGTTGCTGAATGTCAGATTTACAGAAACTTAATGTGGTCTCTAAAATATCATAGAATATTGCAAGTGTATGAGACCACATTAAGTTTCATCATTCTATGAAATAATTTCACCTAATACAGTTCTTTTGAAGCAAAAAATCAAAAAATTCTGGTCCTCATGCACAGGAAAAGAAATGAATGAGAACTCTTTTGTGTTTTCATCCTAACCTGCCATATGGTAATGTGTTCTTAATAGTGTAACATTATGCAGTTTGTAATGTTGTCACACTAGAATGAAACTCTCACTTTCAAGACATAGACAGTCCTGAAAAGTGTTTCTAAATTCTTCTCTTTCTGTACTGTAATCAAAATTCAGGCCCTGATTCTGTGGGACAATTTGTGAATCTTTCATTGTAATTCACGAGTTTATCTGAGCGCCAGTCCTTTTACAGAAGACAGAACAGTATTATTTCTCACAAGCAGCTGGTCAATTTGTTCTCCCAAACATTGGGCAAATAGCAGGATTCTACAGGCAAAATTGTTGTTTGCAGTATTTCAGCTTAGGTGTTAATTATCCCAGTATGAGKATTTGAGGATATCCCGAATGAGATTTTGCAAAACTATGCTAAATCTGTAAGTCTTCTGAATAATATCATTTTTTTTTGAAAGTTTAGAAAACATCAGAATCTGTTCRTTGTTTAGTTTTCTAGTCATTCTTCTTCAGCTGCCTATCTCAATGTAGAGAAAATGCTTTCTATTGCCTTGCTTCCCRAAAATATTTAGGAGAGGGGTTCAGAGTTCTTTGTAAAATATTATAAATGTTTTCTAGAAATATAATTTAAAACTTTTATACATATTAAATAGGTTAAGAAAAAGTCTGGGCTGCTCATCCACCTATGTATTTCATCTGTGTCAGTATGTACCTCTTTACTTTCCTCAGTGAAAGGCTTTTCTGATAAATCTCCTCTAGGACTTATTTGGATTGGCAGGCTGAACTGSCAGGCCTTGTTTTTACAACTTTTCAGCCACTTTCTTTTTTAATTTCTTTTTTTTTTCCTATAAATTATAGTAAAAAATTATCCTCTCTTTGAACAAGTGCTATTTTTTCGTTTCCTTGTCATGATAATGTGTGAACTATTTATAAAAATACTGAAGAGCCAAATTCCTTTCCCTTAAAAACCTCACTTTGTTTCCTATGAAAAAGTCATATCAGTATGGCTGACATGAACATAAAAATTGGCAACACATGTCAGCTCCACCTAGACAATTTAAAACTATTATAGATGCTTGTGTGTCTGCCCTGAGGGTCTAACAGACCATTTTAATAGCTAAGACTTTTTCCTAAATTCATATTTTATGATAGAATTCARGTTTTCATCCCCATCTTTTACTTATTCTTAGAGAACAAAGTTATGTTATATGAACTGTATTATTAGAGCTATTAGCTGTATAGGTTACTGGCCATCTCTAGGTTTTAGAGAATTTACCATAGTTAATAATGCTGAACATTAGGAACTTGGCTTGCTAAAACAGAATAACCTAAGCTCTAGAGAGGAGATTTTTTATTAGAAAGAACTGAGCAAAATTCAGTGTATTACTGCGTACTTAAAACCTGGTTTTGTTCTTGAAACAAACAAAACAGAGATGCTTCAAATTTAATGAAAGAGACCTTTAGCTAAGGTTCTTTTATGTGGATCTTTGTGGCATGTGAGATCTTGAAAAAGCTAACAAAGTAAAAGCAAGGTCTGATAGAGATCTTTGTGTATGTAAGAATTTGTCTGTCTTCTAGGTGAAGTTGGAACAGATGTTGTTCATTAAATTTATTACCTACCCTAAATGATTTAGCATGAGCTAGTAATTTGAGGGACTCCCAGGTGTGCAATGCTACGAAAGTAATACACTGGTCAGAACTTGTTAGTCATGGTGTCCTCCTAAAGATTAGAGTCTATTCTTATCCTCTTCTACACAGGGTTTCAAAAGATTTTATGTATAGTTGTGCGCAAAAGGATGTCTTTGTGCAGACAATCATGGAAATCATATTTAATACTTGTTATATTCTGCCTATAGACTAGGACATTTCTCCATATTTTTTCAAGCTCAAATTGGTCAGATTTGCCATTTGCTCATTCAGTTATSTAATTCCACTATATTTTTTGCACTCATGGTTTTGAAAAGACAGTGTACGAACCTGTGTTTATTAGCATTTCCGTTTCTGTGAAAATATGACCTGTAGATACTTCTGATTTTTAAAATTTGTGGTTTCTGAWAGTGGCATTACTGCTCAGTTGTAGGCATGGGTCTCCCTGACAGACTGCATATCTTCAACAAAGAGCTATTTCTTTTTTCTTTTCTGTGTGAGCAAAATTTGAAAGGTAGAGTAAATCTGGGAGAACTCAAATGAGCAGCTGCAGAAACTGTATTTTCCATTTTCCCTGTAGAAGTATGCAGTCTCTGTACATTAAAAAAAAAAAAGAAAAGAAAAAAAAAAGAAAAAATTACTGTAGGACGGAACAAGGTGAAATTCTCCCTCTACAAGCACTGAATACGACAAATCTAAACAAGTCTGTGTTGGGGAGACAGGAAGAGTTTCAATTCTATAGTTATCTAATAGAGATGTTAAATTCAGGATGAAGCAGACAGCAAGACAGCAGACTACTTTGGGGCTACTTTGGGGCTACACAGAATAACTGAGGCAGAAATGAGGTATAAAGAAACATTTTTTTCCCTTGCTTTGAGAACACTGAACTTAGTTCTATACTTCTGGCTTGTACAAAAAATCAAAACTACTGCTTCTGATTATTATAGTGGAAATACACAATACTGATTTATTAGTTGTAGAGCAGGTATGGATCTTATTTTTTCCCAAGCTGTTTGATAATTAAAGTTGAACCTTAGAGTTCGGTCATGCTTATTTCATATTCCTCATAAAATATACCTGATCTCGCCATTTATGCTCCAGCTGGAAGTAGTTTTAATGAGGAAAATTTATTTATACATCATCTAGTGTGTGTAACAATACCTGAAAGCATCCTGTGGGGAGCAACACGTTGCTGACAATAATCTAAGAATGAGGTTTTCAGTGTTGGTTCAGATTTTCTCCTGGTAGATATAGACAGAGCTCCATTGGCTACATTCATTTATACCATCTGACAAAACTTTGTTTTGGACAAAAGGCTTATAAACATATACTGTTAAGCAAGATACATTTATGGAATAAGGATTCAGGACAAAATTTCTAGCTTTCAGTCAATAGGTTGAACCTTGTATCAGTGACAGCCTGAAATTTTGCTTTTTTTTCTGAGTTTTTTTTTCCCCCCCCCAGAGGATAACATACATTATGTAGAAACAAAATTTTCCTTTAATGTTTATCCTGAGATGGAGTGTGTTGAGTTATGAGTTATCTGTTGGGATCATCACTGTTAGAGGAATTCATGAGGGCTTTGCAACCTTGTGTACGTACAACTTTCTTCTTCCTTTTGGCCCTTCCTTTTGACCTAAGAAAAAATTTTAAAAAAGGAGAGATTTTCAATGTATTTGTGTGTGTGTGTTTGTGTGTGTGTGTGTGTGTGAGAATAATTCAAAGTGAGTGATAAGCAGAGAAAAAATGGATCATCCATTATCTGGATAATGGTTCATTTTTCTGTCCAGCGTATTTGTTGTATTTGGTCTTCATTTTGGAATGGCAAGTTAGACTGGAAGTCGAACTTTCCAGTACAAAACTGGAAGTTAGACTATATTTATTAACCTAGGGTGCAAGAGTCCAAGCAACTCATGGAGTTTTGATGGTGTTCTTTGAATTAGAGGATACACAGAGGATAAATGGAACTGCAGAGACATGTTCTGTACATCCTATTTTGTTTTAAGATCAGTTTTTAGTAAAAAAAAATTAGCTAGTGCCACAGTTCTATAAAAGCAGTTGCTTAATTTAGGGATCGCAATGCTTGGTCTAAGAGTGGTTTTCATCCTGTGTATTTCTTATACCTGCTGAATATGAGTTAGCTCAGATCTGATTTTGGGGCTAAATACATATATGGCAATCGATAGTATTACATAATCTTTGTTTTTAATATACACATGCTTCAACGGAAAAGTCAAGTACTATAGCATTTTTAAAAATAGTGTCAATAGGAAAAAACAAGCAAAACCTTTTTTTGATATATTTCATGTGTTGTTTTGATTTTTTTTATGTTGTTTTTTGTTTCAGTATATGGTTTGTACTACATATAATGCACAACCATCTCTACCATTTAGGGATTGTGAAAAGCTCTTTTTTTCTTGCAGATCATCCGGTGAATGAATTATTGGATCTATTCAATCCCCACATACWTCCTCAGGCAACAGATGAATCCCACATTGATACAGAATCATCTCAGACTGAACCCTGTACTTCAGACCCTGTGCAGGATTCATCTGAATATATTGGACCCTTTATATTGGATCCTTTCTTTCCAGACTTTTTAGACTCTTTGGAAGAGGAGGAAGACTGTGAAAATACTACTGATGTTACAACTCCTCCAGCTTTGCAGTTTATCAATGGCAAACAACAAGTGACAAGTGCACCTAAAAGCACAAAAGCTGAGGAAGCTAGAAGTGACCAAATTGAAAGTGTTGCTCATTCCAAAAATGTAACCTTTTCACAAATCAATGAAACAAACACATTTATAATATCTGAAAGTGAAGCTTCTGGTACAAGGCAACCAAGCAAATCTGGAGAAATAACAGGGGTATTTGAAGTTACACAACCGACAGCAGATGTTGCAATGTTAGAACCTGTATATAGTGGTGAGTCAGAAATAGCCACAACAGATAAATCAGTAGAGATTACTTCTTCATATGAGCATTCTCCACAAAAAACTAAAACGACAGTAACATGGCACAGAACGGATAAGACCTCTACTGAAGACACAAAAAACTTGCTTTTGGTTACGAGTGAATCATCTGGAGATGGCTCTACTGAATCTGATTGGTCTAGTTCTGTATTCTCAGCAACAGTAACAATATCAGGAAAGGAAGATGATGAAAAAAAAATAGATATAACTTCTGCTTCTAATGCAGTTATAGTGGAAAGTTCTGCTGTAACTGCTCCACTAGATGCAGTYTTTGATACTGCTACTGTTCCCATAACTGTGAAGGACCTTAATCCTGAAGAGGTTACCTCTGTTCCAGGAAATCATTATAAATCAACTATTAAACTTGATGCACAGTCCTCAGTTGAAGGTGTTCTGGAAATGAGAAGCCATACAGAAGGGCCCAAGATAAGTGCTTCTTCATTTATAGTTACTGAAGGCTCAGGAGATGTAGAAGAAGAAATCAATATCACTTCAGCAATGGCAATGGAAACAGCAGTAACTGAAAATCTTTCTGTGAAAGATATTTCTTTAGGCTCTGGCACAATACTGCCAACAAAAAATTCTGTAACAGTTTTGGGAATCACCCCTTCTTTGGCTAGAGGAACAAGCAGTCCTTATTCTGCTTTTGATCAAAGTTCTGGAGTAACTGTTCCCASCAAAACTATACCTGAGTTTATTACAGAAAACATATTTGCGAGCTCTATAGTAACTGAAAAAGAAACTGAAGATGAAAAAGAAATACAGACCACTGCTTATTCAGCTAAGGAAAATTCAACATCTGTTGTTCAGGGAAAATCAGAGCTGAATGAAATTGAAAGCATTACTAATGACGTCAGAACTGTAAGTCAGGAACCCACCGCTCTCAGAGAAACAGTACCAGACACAAATACTGTACATTTGCAAATTAAAAATGTTACTACCATTCCTCTCTTGAAAGAGAAGAGGCCTTTCATAAGTGAAGGATCAGCAGAAGAACCAGCTGACATTTTTTCAGGGGGTCCCACAAAAAAAGTGGTAAGTACTGACTCCCCATTTATTGATCCAGGTTCTGGAGATATAGATATTATCATTGAGTCTGCTACTTTGACTTCAGTTCCATCAAGGTTTATGACTGAAACACAAACAGAAAAGCAGGAAGGAAATGTTTACAGCATAGATGCTTCATTGAAGAGCACAACTATAGCATATGAAGAACATACAAGAAGTGATAAATTAGCAACATCAGTTTTAAGTACTGGGTCAGATGACTTGATGAAGGAAGATGAAGTRGTAAGTCAGATGTCTCAGAATATTTTTAGTACAGRAAATCCAGGAGAGCTAAAACAGGAAACAGAAGCAACCTTTACAGTTTCTTCTCATGAAAAATCTAGTCCTGGTTCTGGAGAAGAGCTGACATCTCATGTTACATCAGGAGATAAAACTAAGTATTTACAAACAGGTGAGGTCACATCATCTCCAGAATATGTAGCTAAAAACAACCCCCCTGGAATCATGGTGACACATGGTATTGGAAGTATAAAAGCAGTAGCTGAATCTACAGAAAGCAAAAATGAAAAAGATGGCTCTTCAGCTGTCTCTCTGGGCAAAATTTTCCTAATGGAACTTGGCTCTGGAGAAGAATTTAAAGGTGACAGCAGCACCTCAAAACTAATATCTGATGGACCTACTGAAAAAATATTTTTAACTCATTTCGCATTTACTGATCAAGGATCAGGAGAAGCAGAGGCTGTCACTGAATCATCTACAAAATTAACAATTTCACCAACTAAGAGGGCAGAAATACAAGAGAACTATGACAAAGAAGTGATTAGCATGCCGTCTGTAGATTATGCCTTCACTACTGAACCTGATGAGCTAGTCACAAATACTGACCATGAAGTAACCACACTRAAAATTGTAACTGGCATTAAAAAGGAAGAGAATGATTCAGCTGATGAAGTGATGACGAGAGATTTTATTACACAGTTTCCATTAGAGGAAGACAGACATTCTGGGGAGAATAGACCGATCTCATCAAAAGCTACAGAATCTTCTGAAGAAACAACAGAGGACCCATTTTTTAAAAATTCACAGTCTAATCCAGGATTTTTAAATGTTCCCACAATAGGGCCATTTTCAGAAGAAAATAAATTAGAAACTGAATATGTTAAAAATATATCCTTTCCATCTAATGATGATAGAGTAACTGAGCCTGTAAACTTTGAAAACGAATATGTAAGCTCTTCAGTTACAGATGTGGAAGGAGAAAATTATTTTGGACAAAAGGTTTTCCCTACTGAAAATATTCCCAGATCACTCCTGACACCTAAAGAAGACAAGCTAACAAATAATGAGATCACCAATGATCTATTATTTTCAGGAGAAGGATCAGGAGATGACCTTACTGTTAGTCCTTCTATAGTGCCACTGGCTGTCAAAGATATCACAAGTACTTTAAGTCCCCAGACTTTTCATTCTGCAAATGTGGGATCCAAACTTTCAACTGACATGACACAAGACTTTAAAACAGTTAGCACTGAATCAAACATTCAAGTTAAGGAAGAAGTTACAGGTGCTGCAGAAGAGTTGATTTCAGAATTAGCAAACTCSATGGTCACCAGTTCCCCAGCTTTAACTGAACAGAATTCCAAGAGCTTTGGCTCTAAAGAGGTAAAAGAAATCAAACAATATTTTATTGTGAGTGAAGAACCTCCCACTAAAGAAACTAACTACAGGAGAGAARCAAATGAATCATATAAGACAACGACTACTTCTAGAGCTGTTTCTCAAGAGAGAATTCAACATTTGCTTATTAGAGATGGTGTAACTCCTCCTGCTGTATTAATCAGTGGAACTCCTAGTCTTGAAATAGAAGAGTCATTCATAACRTCAACAACAAAAATGCCAAGCAGACTATTACCTGAAAACTCTGGGGAAGGATCTGGCTGGGTTGATGTTTCAAGTTCATCTTTCCCTGATCCATTTACCCGTTTGTCAACACCTCCTATGGCAAAAGTAGAACTAAATCCTTCATCTAGTGTACCTGGGGAAGTTTATTCTGAAKTTACAGCAACAGAGGCATCAATAGATGTATCACAGATAGCGATCACTGGATTGTCACTCCTCTTTACAGAAGAAAAAGAGATAGTGACAAATCCAACTACTGTTCAGTCAAGGACAACTCCATCAGAAGAACTAACAAGTGATAATGGTATATATGAGAAGAATATTCCTCTGTTTGATGATAAAAGAAAYGTACAGAATATTTCAGTTTATGGTGATATTACACTAATTGAAGATCGACTTGAAATCATCCCAGAAAAATCAAAAATTATAGACATGGATCACTCCACATCAATGCCAGAAGATATAATAAGCGTGCAGACAGTGGTAAACTCTGCCATAAAACCAACATATAGCAGTGATGTTAACATGAATGTTGATTTGGAGAAATATGATTCAACACCTAATTTTTACTTACACAAAGAAAAGTCGCTGGGATCTGGCGATGATCTTTCTGTTACTACTTCCAGTCAGCCAATAAATAGTGAATCAACAACAGCTGACCACAAACTAAAATCAAATGATAAGGATTCGGGATCAGGAAGTGCCATGGAGTTCACAACAGGAACTTTCATCACTGCAGAACTCTCTAAAGTGGACACTTTCCTTCCAACTGTACCATCACTGGCAAGCCCTCAGGTACCTCATGAATCTAAAGAAACTGAATTTGTGACTAAACATGTTACACTGGCAAGCACAACGGAAGACATTTATGAGCTGAATACTTCAGCAAACAACCAAGTAATAGCAGATCAAAGTGAAAACATTTCCATCTCTAGTATTTCTGGAATGGGCCCAAGAGAACCAGATGATGAAAAACCTGTGGTTCCTTCCCTTAGACCAGATTTGATTACTGAGACAGAGCAGGCTTTGACAACCAACATGTTTGATGTAAGTGTTTTCACCACACAGCATACATCCCCCCACATAATGGTGTCATCTAGCAAGAACGAAGAAGACCACTCTACAGTTTATATAGACACAAAAAAAATATCAGCAGAATCAGAAGAAACAGATTTTTATTTGGTACCTCAAACTCCTAAATCCTCAGTAACTGTTCAATTAGTTAATGGAGTATCTGAATATCCAGAAGTTGTCATTCCAAGCACTTTGTCATCAGAGGATTCAGATCAGTCCAACCATTCATCAGAACAAACCTTCAAAGAGGTTAATTCTGATATAGCAGCAACATACAAACCACCTACTACAGAATTTTTTGAAAAAACAGAGCCTCTACTACAGTTTTCTCCTGACCCTGAACCTGAAAGCACAACTACAGAAACTATTCCTCAATTTACTAGATTTGTAACAGACAAGATAGAGGAGACAGAGACTTCTGTAATGGATCTTGTTGTTACGGAAGAAGCTACTGTTTCTGGAGATTCTCCATCAATACCTGTCTTCCCTACTTCTTTTTTGAGTTTTAGAGAAACAAAAGCACAAAGCACGGATGTTCCTAAAGTTAGCACAATTAAAGTTGAAACTTCTTCAGAGAGAGTGAAAGAGCCTAGTCAAGAAGATGACAGCAGTAATGAGAAAGAAATTCCATGGCTTTTTTCCACACCTATTTTGGGTTCATCTGATAGCGTCGGGGGTAGAGGATTTACATCTGAACAGGAAGCAATTACAATGTTAACTTCATCTTCAAAACCTTTGCATAGGAGTATGGAAACACAGTCAGCTTTCTTTGTGCAAGAGGAGACCACAACAATTTCTTCTAACATTGCAACAACCAGTATAGCCCCTGAAAAAAATCCTTATCAAAGTAAACAGACAACGATAAGCTCTGAGGAGCTAAAAAATGCTGAACTTGTAACGTCATCATTTTCCCTTCCTGAAGTCACTAATGGATCAGATTTCCAGATTGGCACCAGTGTGGGTTCAGTTGAAGGCACAGCAGTGCAAATACCAGGTAACTTCCAAATCTGATCAATGTTTGTTTTGATACTTGTGTATGTTTGTCTTAACTCTATGAAGAGGCATGATAACTGAAGTGTTGTTGAAAGACATCAAAACTTATGAGCCTCAAGCTTTGAAATCAGCATGATTGTGTACAAAATTAAGAAGATATAGAGACTGGAACTCAAGCTCAGTGGCTTTTTGAGTGTTTGCACCTGGATCACAGTTAGGGTGACTAGCTAGTTCTAAAAGGCAGGCAGGTAACATTGACTGTGATAGAAAGTTCAGCTGTAATTACTTAACTTTCAAATTTGTAATGGAGATAGACACAAMTATCTTATCTAGTAGGTTTTCTCTCTTAGCATGATGATAGCATGCCCATATAGTAATCTTTTTATAACATACATAATTGACTTGGATAAACCTGAATTATTTTCAGTCTACAAGATTATTTTTAGATGAAGCAAAAAGTGAGGCTTTGCAAATTCAGCTGTCTGCACTTTAACTGGTTGATGCAGTGTCTAGCTCACATAAATTTCAGGTCTCTCTGTTAGACATCATTTGCCACAATATTTTGCTTTATATGACAGTTATTAGGCACTATTTCACAAAATACACAGGTGATACAAATAAGCTCAGTTTGAGTAGTGTGGCTTTAATTCATAATTTACATAGATATAGCTTAGGAAAGAACTAAATGAGCTTAATATTGTGTGGAGTTTTTATTATTTAACCTCCAATCATCCAGGTAGCTGTCAATTAAAAAATATTTACTGGGGAAATATCTGGTCCTTAGGAGAACCAGCAGACAATAAGCCTCCAAAAATATAATTAAGTATGTCCTGCATTTTGGACATTCAGTGGTGCAGTCATAAAACAAGTACTCTGYTTTATGAAGGTGATCGGGTTCTTTTGAAGACCTCCGAAACAAGGTCCTGTACACTTAATTACTTGACCAAATTTATAGAGGCAGGATTTTCTGAAGCTACATTTTCCTAGTGGCTGAATAGGGAACTTCTATACTTYAAGAAACCTGTTCCATTATAAGTTTAACTTGCAGTGAGTAAAATAAACTTTTTTTTTTTCTTAAAAAGAAGTCAAAGTATCTTGCAAAAGCATGGTCACCAATCTATTTTTGCTTGTTTGTTTGGTTGTATTTTTGTATGTGTGTGCGCCTCTGAATGAAATTAGGTACAGAACTTTCTTAGCCACTTTGTAAGTTCTCAAATAAAGCCAGAACTCTGTTCTTGTATCACAGAGGGAATGACTTGCTTTTACTCAAGCTCTGAAAAGCTGGTACTTAAAATGGCTATCTATTGCATATCTGTTCTGTAAGTGATCTTATTCATTAAACCAAATGCAATTACCTAAGTGTAATTCAGTGTACGCAGTTGAAATAAACATCACTAGAAGGCATCAAAAATCTGGAAAAAAAAAAAAAACAGAACTATTTAAATGCTAGCTCCCCTACCAACTGAGGATTTCACAGCAGGTAAGCTTTTATATTAAAATTTTAGTGCAGCTGTGAATGTRTTTAGTATATTTACTTTTCTCAAGTGTGTCTTCAAGATAGACAACTGGGAAATATGTTTGTGTCCTTTCAGAAAAATAAGACTTTATGGGAATTCATTGGTTAAATAAATAAATAAGTAAAAGCAGCCAGATAGTGTGTTAGAGATGTATGTTCTGTGTACCCAGTCATGCTACATAAACTAACCTCGTTCGATAAATGCATTTCCCATTCATTTTGCATTTCTTTAACAATTTTTAGCTATAATTGTCATGTCACGCCAACTAAATCCTCAATAGAATATCATGACTGCTTATTATAATACAAAGTTCTATAAAAATGTGACAATGCTGAAAATTATTTGTATTTGTTCATAGTAAATGTTCTTTAATTGTGCTGTTAAAATTGAAAATAATAAGCTGTGCTACTTTACAAAACTATTTTATTCATAGTSTTCTATGATGTTGTTATAGTTTCTATAACTACAGTAAAGCCTACAATATCAAAGCAAAAATAAGGAATATATATTTCTTCTTCCAAAGAACCAACAACAYTCTTTTTAAAAAGATTATATAGTAAATTTTCATTTTCTATTTGTTTAACAGGCCAAGATCCATGCAAAAGCAATCCCTGCCATAATGGTGGTACCTGCTATCCACGTGGTTCATTTTACATCTGTACATGTTTGCCGGGTTTCAGTGGTGAGCAATGTGAATTAGGTAAGGTGATACCATCTACACTCTATTTAGAATATAAATTAGAATATAGTCTTCATACGTCTGATTTGAACAAGAAGGAAATGGTGCATTTAAATGTGGATAAACACCTAGGCATTGGAAAAAATCTACCATCAGACCTTAAGAAGAAAATAATAAAATTGAGGAGATCCACTCACTGCTTTCCCTCATAAACTGTGCATGTGCACATACACACAGAAACCTGTAGGAAGTATTAACTAAACAGAATGGTCTAGAAGTCATGAAAATAAATTCATAACAGCATCAAATAAAGTCAAATAAACATTATTAKTTGGAATAGTTCCTTAAAAGTATTGTATAATAATTCAACAGGGTGGTTAATTGCTCTAGTCTCACACAAAATTGGGAAGCTGAGCCCTGAATACCAGCTGATATTTTTTGAGGCAAACTGTAAATATAATCATACTCAGATACAAGGATTTTTATTTTTTTCTGTGCCATACATAGTGTCACACACCATGGAGTCWAATGCAGACTCAGATTCTCCACAGATAAGAGGAAATACTGCATTCTGCGCAGTTTACCTTTTTCTCAGCTAGCAATGAGATGAAGATCTAGGTTTTAGAAATTAACTCAGAAGACTCTATATGTATAAAATCATGGTTTATTAATATCTCTTTCCCAAGGGAACGGCTGTTTTGTTTGTGGGTGAGGAGAGTGGAAGGTTGTGTATAGTGAAATCAAAATTATGCAAAGAAGAAAACCACTCTATTAGATCTTATGCAATTTATGCCTAGTAGTAATTATGACTAAAGACGAAGAACATTTCCCTCCTAACAGATGGGTGGATTGTAAAAACCCTTCTATATTTATTTTGTAGATATTGATGAATGTCAGTCTAACCCATGTCGGAATGGAGCCACGTGTATAGATGGCCTCAATACATTTACTTGTGTCTGTCTGCCAAGCTACGTAGGTGCTCTCTGTGAACAAGGTAAGGCGTATTTTCTAGTCTATGGTAATCTAGATCTCAGGTATGTTGTCATTGAAGATGCAAAACTCCATAACTTTTCCAGGAGCTGTAAGATGAGTTTTTACTCATATTAGCACTAAAAGTACTAGTACTATCCTGGTATGGTATTAGCAGTTTCAAGGTATCTCACAGGATATAGGCTGTTGGTGCCTTCCAATCAGGCCTCTTCCCTACAGTTTCTGAAATCTGCAGATTCATCAAAAGTTAAACTGTAGCATGATGGAAGATGTCTAGTCACTCTCCATTATGAAGAATCCTACCAACAGCTAGCTAGGACTCTTCCAACTTTCTACACTTGATTCTCTTTTGAAAAAAAAACAGCTGTTTCATTCTGTATAAACTAGGCAAAGCCTTCCGCAGAAGAGGGTGGCTAGACAATACTGTCAAAATCTGTGGGAGGTCATTGGTGATGAGGAGAGGTTATAATTTTTTAGTGCTAATAAAACCTAAGTATGTCAGACTCCTAACTTTTGTAGCTCAGGAGTTTCTGTTTGAAGTTCTACCTGTGCTGTCTTTCACAGATGGACGAAAGCAAACTAGAAGCCACATTTCCACTGTACTAAATATGAACTAACACTTTCTTTTTCTCAATGTGGCTTGTTTAGGCAAGCATGGTGTCTAACTACAGCCATACAATTTTCAGGTGGCTCTGTGGGAAGCACTGCATACTCATATTTACTTGCAAAATACTGGAAAGATAGTCTGTAGTGATATTTATAATAAGAGGGAACAGAGTTATTTTCTGACAGACATTCTGTCTTACAAAGCTGTAAGCAGTGTGAAAGACTTAGAACAGGCACCTCTTGAAAGCTTGAATATTTGAAAGCTTGACCACTTGAATATTCTGCTGAATATACCTGATCACACATTCACTCACCAGGGGCCATAACCTTGACATCTGCATCCTGACTTTATTCTAGAGTGGCTTGTTCTGTGGTTATTTTAGGAAATATAGGTGCAGAAGCACAATTGCAAGGAAGTTGTAAGAGACATTCTAAACTGGATGGTTAAGAGCAGATTAAGTATCTGAGTCTCCGTAATTGTTAGAACAGTACCTGCATGGAATCCACCTGTATTTAAGAGAAATGTTTACAAGCAAGATGCTTACTCAATATATGCATTTATGAGAGGAAGAAGAGTAGCAAAATCTGGTCGGTCAGTAAAACTAATGAAGGCATTTCCATAAGAAAAAAGAAATGGTGCCTTAAAGGGTACTTTCTAAAGCCTGTAAAATATTTTTCTCTTTTCTTCGACTGAATGGTTTTGTTCTCTGGTCAGTGAACTAGAAATTCTGATATTATTTCATTAACAGTGACTATTTTAAGGCCTGTGTCTCTTCTTCAGTTGGATGAGAGAAAGGCAATTTGCAAACTCTTTCAGGTCAACCTGTAGAGGTTTGTTTGTTAGAGCAGAGACCTCTGGAAGCTGACTAGCTCCAACAATTGTCACTTGTCACTATTTAACTCTGTTAGTAATCTGGCTCACCTTACAGTTTGAAAGGCCTTTCTGAATCTGTTCTCCAGAATTACAAGTTGACTGTTTTTATAACAGAAGAAAAAAGTGTTCTTGTTCCCTTTCTCCTCCCCTTCATTTCAACAAATCCATGTTAGTGAATGGCTCTGAGCACCGTGGTAGCTTTAAGCTGCTTTTTATGACCAACCTGAGAGTGCATTTTAGGTGGTTAGTGGGAACATTTCCTAGTTTGTCAATCAGAAACAGAGCTCTGCTCACTCAGCTTTGGAATTTAAATTTCCTCCACTTAATGTCTTGCAGTGGTTTGGGACCTGGGAAAAGTGTTCAGTGCCAAATTTCCATTCCACCAGACAAAATAAAACTGTGTTGGCAATTCAGACACAGTGTCTGGCAAGCAGGCTTTATTTCAAGGCATCAGTCCTGACCTCACTAGATTTAAAGACCAGCCAGAACAACGAAACGTGTACCTCAATGCAACAGGAAAGGTGGAGTTGAGCACACTAAGATTATGTTTCATTACTACTACTTTTTTTTTTCTCCAATATATATTATTTATTTTAGAGATGTTAAAAAATCTGGAGGGCTTAGTACACATGGTGCTGAATATTCAAGATGCCACAAAAGTGAATGAAAGCATCTGGTGCGTGTTGCCTCTAAAAATGAAACTCAGAAAAGRGGACAACTCTTAGGTTCTGGTCTCAAAACATTGTTTTAGGAAAACACAAGAGTTCAGAGTATAGCCAAAAGAGAACAGAATTCAGAATATAGCTCTGTGAGACTTTCACAGAGTAAGGACTAGCTCAGCTGTTGTTKAAACTAGGGACTGGGGATTAAGCAACTGTTCGTGTTAGGTGAGGACATGAATAGAGGACAGTGTGGCTGCATTTGGGTGATTTAAAGCCCTTCAAGGAGCTTTGGCAAGTTATAAAAGTTAGAGCAGCCTTCAGGGTGATCTAACTTAGCATAAAAGAGAGAGCATAAAATCAGTGAGATGTAGATGGCTGCTTGACAGTCATTTTTCTTGCAAGGCAGAATCACTTCAGCTAAAATCTGAACCCAGGAACTCCTTCCTGAAGAGTGCCAWAGGTGTCTGCTGATAAGAATAGAGCAACCAATGGGTTGTATGTGTCTTTTGAAAGTACAGTTCCATATTCTACATACCATTTGATGACATTTTTTAAATGCARAAATAACCAGGAAAGACTTTGACTTTCACAGAGTGGCTGCAGGCTAGAGAAGGACATGAGTCTAGTCTTTTCCCAGGGGACCCATCAGTTATTCYGTTGGAATTATCCTGTGGAAAACTGTCCTTCAGACCTTTAAGAGGGTCCAAATAAAGGAAATAGAAGTTCAGAGGCTTCCAACTTGAATACCTAAAGTGTTTCTCTGCAGGAAGCACTTTCTTGAGGAAAGGAGGAAGGAAGCTTTTTGATACCCTGTCTTACACTGAGGAACAACTGCTTCTCTTCACTTCAGTGGGACTAATCATAGAGACTCATCTCTAAGGACTATATGAGATCCTGTGACTATTGTTTAATATCATATTCATGTGTTGTGTGTATTTGTAATGAGGAGTACCTTATTTCATGAATAMAGGGATAATACAGTTACAGGGATCACAACAAAACAATAGAGAACTACAAGTTGGATTTTAGTTTCTAGAAAAAGTTACCAAATTAATTAGGCTACCCAGTTAATTAGGAGAACTGGGTGGATGAACACCTGTTGATATCTTCCTTTTCCTCCCTTGGTTGACTAGGGTTTCCTGTCCTTTTCCTGTCCTTTTCCTGTCCTTTTCCTGTCCTTTTCCTGTCCTTTTCCTGTCCTTTTCCTGTCCTTTTCCTGTCCTTTTTCTTTCTGTCTTGTCCTTTTTCTTTCTTTCACTCTCCTTGCTGTTCTAGCTGGTGCCTACCTGCTTTCCAGGAATGATGTTTGTGTTTTGAACTTAAGCTTTGGCTTTCTGCACTGCAAGATTTCTGCAGACACTCCTTGCTTAGCCTGTTTACCAAACGCAGCTGCAKAAGTGGAACCTCGTGCCAAAATGGCACATATGTGTTTGCTAATGGACATGCCTCCTTGGGATAATACAGCTAGCTGTTTTGTTTTCCGGGTTCCCAAAGCAAAACATTTCTTTTTAATTATCATCAGGAACAATGTTTTTCATAACTCACTTTCTTTGTTCACATGTTTATGGTTACTCCTGTCTCATCTGATTCTCTTTGTTCTCTGAGCTTGGTAGCTTGGGATGGAAGCATTTGAGAAGGGCTCAGTGCAAAGATGCCTTCTCAAAACAGATGGTCTCTAACTGATCCCTTTCAGCTGAGAATGATTTTTAAAAATATTTACCAGAGAATGTTTTTTTCCTCTAGATGTGTGGCCTAATGTATCTCTGACATTTGTTCACTACCTGAAGCCAGACAGTTGCAGATAAAATTCACAGCTGAGTTAAGACTCTTAYTATGTTCTTGTATCTGTGTTTCGCTGTTTCCTGTAAGGATCTTACAGGATTTGTTTAAAGATAAGTAGCCTATTGTCAGCAGTTTATTGGAGCTCTTGAAAAGGCAGAACCGACCTCTTCATTACACCTGCAGGGATGGATATTTAATGGATATTTAATGTAGTATTTAGAGATGTTATATATTTACAGTTATAGAGAAGAGAAGCTGTGTGGGTAATTCTTTGCACACATCACTGAAAATTAGCCTGTAAATTATAGTAAATCTTAAGTGTAGTGAAACAGTTTACAAAATGCCATGAAGATGACAAGTAGTCAAGAAGTGTTTCAGTCTTTCCAACATGTTCTGAAATAAGTTTGCATAAACTTATGATCACCTCCCMGGATAATCATACAATGAACATGAAATATTGTATTCAAGAAGTGTTCATATCTACTCTACTCATAGAAAATTTATGCTCACCTGCAATGAGRCTTTACTTCTTTGGCAAAGACTGTTTAAAAAAACCTTAGACTCATATGGAGCCCTTACCTTTGTGTGACTCAACTTTGCTAATGTAGTCGGACATATAAATGCTCAGGACAAATCAAGACTTGTTCCCATGTACATAGCACAGAGATGAAAGCTGCTTTTAAATAAAAGGGCTTGCATTTTTCATCCTCTGGCCTCCTGACCTACCCCGACAGTGAGCCACGTGAGGACTCGTCCTTTCACTGTAAAACCTTTTGCTTTTTTCACCCCCACTTCCCCTCTCCCCCAAAATCCTGTGTTGCTTATAGCCTTCAGCCCCTTTCCTCCTCTTGTAGTTTTAAGAGAGAGAAATGTATGCAGAAGAAGGTATTCACCAATACCCCTTTTTCTTCTGAAAAAGAATATGACATTTTGGTTTTGGAGGGATTGTGCATACACCGTGCGTGCACATGTATCAGTTCTAAGTACATATGACAGTTTGGTATCCTCTACCTTTAACTGAGAATAGAAATTTTGATATTCATGTTTCAAAGCTAGGCCATTAGATCTTGTTCTYTGAACTCAGCCTTTTAGCTCTGGTGTTTTCACATGCTCTGCCTCTCTCGTATTATCACTCAGCGGATTTTTCATCAAATCTTGCACTTCTTCCCTAGCGGTTGAGGCTTCATCAGAATAGCCTGAAGTTGCTTTCTGACCRTGACTTTTCTCAGCTTGCAAAGCTGCTTGTAATCTGACTTGTTTCCTGTGGGATGAGATGGTCCCCAAACAAATGAAAAATAAAATCTTATGTGCCTTCACAAAGGACATTTTGCTGACTATTAGTCAGCATTGTGTGGTTAAATAAATGTTCTTGAAAGCCAAAGGCAGACTAAACTTTAAAATGGCCTAGATCCCAGAGATTAAAGCTGTATCTGCAACATGCACCTAATGTGGCATACAGAAAGGAAAAACATCAAAAACTAACAACTTGATAACAAAGATTACATTCCTTTTTCATACTTGGGATTACTTAAAGCACAAACATTTTCTACAGCTTAACTTGTGGAAAATAAAAACATGAGAAATCAGTTTGAGGTCTATTTTGCCTCTTTATTTGCTACATTTATGTCTATGCTAATATGTGTATGTGTGTATTTAATTTTGATACCAGACTGATAGGACAATAACTACTATGTTATCAATTTTGCCAGAAATTGTTAAAGAAATGGCACTGAACTGATAAAGACTTATATGGATTTAAAAGTGTAAATGTATCCAAAGCTTAGTTTTTATGTCAGGAGATTCTTGAAATAGGCAACAAAATTTCTAAAGAATATAAGCTTTCATGCTTCAGGATGTGACTGATCTCTTCCTGCTTTGATGAAGAATCAGCCACCCATGTTTGCTTCTCTTCAGATAAAAGGAATACTGGCTGATGTGACTGCTGCCTATTACACGTCCATATCAGTCCCATCTCTCCAAAGTACAGTGTCCATTTCATTTCTTTATATTTTACAGTTGTCTTTAGAAACTGATACTTAAAATTTTATACTTTGTAGAGGAAGGTGGGTATTGGAGAAAGACTTGCAGGGGTAAATTTATTCTTTAGGAAGATAAAACACTAGTTACATATCTATGGATTGAGCAGTAACACATAWTTTCCTTTATTAGTTATTTTCAAACTCAGGTAATTCAGTCACTACTCAAAGAACTATTTGCTGTACAAAATACCAAAAAAAAAAAAAACCCTCTTATGCCCATTTAGTACCATGTACTAACTCATAAATAAGTAAAACTGATGAAATGCAATCTATCATCCAGGCTTTTCATTCATCCAGAATTACAGACGAAAGATGTCCTCCTGAGATTGCCCACGTACAGCACAATAGGATCAAGAGAAGCTCACAAAGTGGCCAATGAAAATTTTATTCCTTATATGAATAATGTTCATACAACTTATATCGAAACCGGGTAAACAGGACTACCTGAAATATTATTAAGTCTTCAAGGGTGAATGATTGTTTTTGCCTTTGTATTGCTTAACGGAGGGGATACCTTTTTGAGCCTCTGCACTGCAGAGACTCCATCCATTTCTGAGAAATGTGSCTATGTTTCAGGCCTGTAGTCAGAAATATGATTTGTTTATTCATCACAGACACGGAGACCTGCGATTATGGCTGGCACAAGTTCCAAGGGCAGTGCTATAAATACTTTGCCCATCGTCGTACGTGGGATACAGCTGAACGAGAATGTCGTCTTCAGGGAGCACACCTGACAAGCATCTTGTCCCACGAAGAACAGATATTTGTGAACCGTATGTATTAGTAGAACTCCTCTCAACAAGAAAAGGCACTGCGGATTCAGAACTAGAGAAATATCCTTCTGATCACTGAGCTTTTTCTTTTAAAAATATGCTTAGAAAACCTTTCACAGGGCACATTGTGTTCTTGATGTTTACTTTTGCTGTTTARTTCCGTATCACAGTTATTATGTAGAAAATATCTTTCTGCAAGTGTAATAGAACTACTTTTTACCACTGAAGAATATATGACTTCTTTTTTTTTCTGAAAATCTTAGGTCTTTTTAGTAATTAGAAAGCTAGCCTGTTTCTTTTGGGAGACAGAGTAAGGAGGGAAGAGACGGGATTGTTTAAAACTCTTAGATCTGAWTCTGCATTTTGTAGACTTTCGGAATTAAAATTAAAAAGCTCAAAAACAGCCTGTAAATAATTGTTTGCACAGTGAGTAAGAGAATCTTAAGAACAGGATGTCTGATTCATTCCATGCAAGTTCTTTTATTAAGATAATGATGAAAACTCTCCCATTTATGGGAAAGTTAATAAAAATATCCTTCTGGTTCCTTTTGCTTTAGGTATTGGACATGAYTACCAGTGGATTGGCCTCAATGACAAGATGTTTGAGCGTGACTTCCGCTGGACTGATGGTAGCCCACTGGTAAGATGCCTTTAAAATGAAATCACTTATTCATTTATTTTTGTGATGGTTTCTGAAATTCCCACAGAAACAAGCGAAGCTCCATCAAAACTGCAGTCACTAAATATGCAAGTAAGAAAACAGCCAGGAAACTATCTTGGTTTGGGATAGCTCCTTTTCTGCTTTATCTTTCTAAAATCTTGTTCTTTGTTCTAATATATATGTGGGAGCTCCCAAAGTTTCCCAACAGAAACTAACGCTTAAGGTTTAGTCTGAGAACATAATTTAAGGGTCTTTGCTGGAGCTGGTTTGCGCTTTTTTTATACAGTGATACATGTGAGAATTCTCCTTTCTTTCTTCTGTATGTGGAGAAGAGTGCTTTTTTTAGGTTCATGTATGGCATACATGCCCTTGCATTCATGGGACACATTAAGGAGTCTTAAAGTAGAGTCTAAAGTGGACTGTTTTAGAGTGTGTATGACAACCGTACRGCTTGGACTGAAAAGCAGTCATCCTTAGGTGGTTCAGGAGGCCTATAATTGGTAATCTGTCCCTAAAATTTTAAGATGTTCTTGATATCACCTATTGCCTTAAGACTGGACAGAAAACCAGCAGGAGAAAGGGAAAAGACTCTATACTTGCCTTTAGCTAAAACAAATCAGAGTGCTAAATACAGGAAATTGTTGAGCTCTTTCCAGTTCAAAATAGTCTCTTCTGTAGTAGAGACAAGTGATTTATTTTCCTTTAATACCCATGAAAAAACATATTAAAAAATTGGTCATGCTTATTACTGCTTCATGTAAACATACTAAGACATAAAGTCCTCTAAAATGAAGACTGCTTGCTCTAAACTACCCACTTCTTGGGAAAATTACCAGGTACRGCAGATGACAGTACAGGAGAAAAGAAAAGGAAGATCAAACTTTTTTCTTTCCTAGCTCTCTCAGGGAATTATGGTACCCATTCATGCTTGAAAGGGCAGTGTCTTCCAGGCTGAAAGCGAAGGGCATTCTTCAAACCATTTTATCTTACCTCTGCCTGTGTATTTTTGAGAGCACCCTATGTGCCATGTCCTTGAACACCACTTATTCTGGAATTCATTCTGTCTCTTACATAACTTCTTCCATGTTACTGACAGTGACTGGCACCCTCAGAGGGCTGTTTAATTATGAGTGGAGCTCGGGGAAATGCCAGGCTCTCTTCATTRGATAAGAAGCCTACACTTCACTAAACAACTTGGAGTTAGCAGAGGGAAATTTGTTAGTAAACATAATACTTGAAAGGTCAGGATGTCACCCATATTGGGAGTCTGAAACAAGATGCAAACTCATATATTACAAAGACAAATTTGATAATGCAATGAGTGATGAATCTCAGGATGGGATGGTGCTAAGACTCTATTTCTAATTCAAGCCGCTGGGCAAATATGTTAAATTTTTACTTTATTTTTTAATTTTAGCAAAAGCTAAAATTCTAGCAGCAGGATAAGACCATCTGCCTAACAGGTTTATCTTTTGGCTGATCTTATCTTTATCTCACTTTCCTACATTTTTTTTTTAAATCTCTCTATCTCTTCTTTCAGATGCAATCTCAGCGTCTCTTGAATTCATTTATGTTCATTGTTTCAATAACCTTCCCTCATAGCTTATTCCATATGTTTTATGGATGCAGTAGTAACTTGGTTGCTTCTTTCTCCTAGGGTGTTTTTTTTGTGGGTTTTTTTTTTTTTTTTTTATTCTCCCCCCCCCCCCCCAATCAGGTGATAGAGATTTATTATTTCACTAGTAACTGAGGTAACATCATAATGAAGCATAGGTGTCAAATACATTTCTGTGGTGGTGTTTTGGAATTGCACTGAATTTSAACACTGTGTAAGTCAAAAATTACATTTCTTATATATTTGCAGGTGAGCAGAATGCATGGTAGTGTTAAAAGTATTTATATAATTCAGGATCACAAAATCAGCCTAACTCCATCACCACTCAGGTTCTAATCTGAATTTCTAAGGTTAGAGATAGCTCTTGCATATAGTCAGGCTCTAGATAGTTTTATGTTTTGTAAATCAGATGTATCTGTAATTCATCTCTGCTTTTATCTTTGCGACCCAACGCCATGATTTGTTCAAGATAGTATTATCCATCTAGATTGTTGTTTAACACTTCCAGCTCACTAGAAAGTTTGTCAAATCTGCTAAGAATTCCCCTGACGTCAGGTTCTGAATCTGAAAATCCTGCTAATAATGCTAAAAGTATATATTTTAAAATCCTAATTTTGGTAAGTTAAAAAAAAGAGCAAAGAAAACAACAAAATCCACAGGAGATGTTGCTGATGGACCTGTTGGCCCAGTGCTACTGTTTTAACCAGTACAGCCCGGATAAAAATAACTGATGAATGTTGTTTATACAAAATCCTCATGTTTTCTTTAATGTGAATTTTCATTCTGAACCAAAGGTTGGTTGGCATGGGGAAGTAGAGTTTAGAATCTTTAGACCTCGGATTCTAATACTGGAGATTATGGAATAAGTTTTGGATTACTTTGTTACACATTTTCCAAGAACATGAGAAAACCACAACTTAATCGGTATGCTGAAAGAAAAACTTTTGCCAAGTGTTGGTGTGAATTTTATTAGTAATTTCTGAAAAGAGTCTCAAATACTCTTTTTATTTCCTTGCATCTGAAAGATCTTTCAACCAATGATTTCAATGAAAGGAGATTAGCTTTTTTTGTTGTTGTTTGTTTGTTTGACATTTTCAGATTATAACCCTGTGGCGTTTTTTCCAGAAGCTAAATACCAACAATTAAAGTTGGACAAAAATTTATGCGAGAATTCCTTATTGAAAACCAATGAATGTACTTCCAAGTGTAGTGCACGTTGTTTCTTACTACACTAAGTTCCTGAATACACATTTTCACCTTCTTTTTTTATGAGTTGCATAGTCATGTGCAGAACTGGCATATAAACCTTATACTGTCTCGCATTGCTTCCCAAAATACAGGACTTTTAGGCGTGTTTTTGCTTTCTGATTCATGTGAAAAAACTTGTCCCTGTCATTGCTCTAGTAATGTAGGAAAGCTTAACTTCTCAAATGTAGTTCTTGGAATTTCCCTCGTGGAAAGGATGAATGGATCAAAGTTTTGCTAACCATATAAGTAAGTACTATTCAGTTTTCTGTGCAGTAGGACAGATTAGATAATATCAGTTCAAGCCATTTCAGAGAGATGATAAGCTTGTTTGTTTCTAATCAACATTGATCAATATTTTAAAAAGGTGAATATTTTAAAAAGGTGAACATTAAGCTTCTTACTGGGAAACTTAAAGTGAACATTCCATTAAAGTAACTATGCAGGCCCACACTGAAGAAAACAGTAATTTATATGCCTAGTAAGGGTGTGACCCTAATCAGCTACTTGGGATAGTCTTGGCATTGTTTTTTGATCCCCATTCCCCTACCTTCTCAAAATACTGACCATTTTAATTCATCAAAATCAACAGAAGTCCAAAAAAGTCACTTTATTMCTGTGTATTCCTGTGTTTTTCTTATATTAACTGGAATTTATGTGATATTACCAAAAAGGATGCCGGTTAGCACATCTTAGAATACACCGAGGGTTATCTTGTATCTTGTATCTTGATCTTTAGCAGAGTTATTTAAGGAGGGAACTTTTAAGATATCAGTTATCCTCATGAAATAGGAACAGGCACGGTCCTATTTGTAGCACTGTAGCCTCTCTTCCTGCAAAGATAATTTGAGTAGACTTTTGCTCTACCTCACTGAAATAGGCAGTGATGCATAGCTATTTCTGCATTTGTAGGGGCTAGGGTCTTAGTCTTAAGGTTGTTTTTCATTTAAAACTGCTCAGCAGTTTTCTGCCCTTTGGGCAAGTTGACATAAGTCTCAATCTCTTGGTATTTGACAAATTTTCCATGTCCTACGCCCATTATATCTCAAATACATACTCATCTTAAAAAATGCAAAATYATATGTAAAGTATTTTGGTCTTACAACTGGTATCCAAACATTCAGTTGTCAATAGAGGTGTTAATTTCCCATAAACAGGTTAATATTATTTCATTTCCTTATATTTTGTTGGCCAGGCCATGTTTTATATTTGTCTTGCTTATAATTTTTTAAAACAGAACTATTTTGGGGGAACTTCTTCACTGAGGTCAAGACACCTCTTTAAAGCAGCTCATTGGCTAGGCTATGGGTACCTCTTCCAATATGTAAAACCAAATGAGCTATAATTACCCTAATCTGGAATATAGAGCACTGGCCACCCATATGAATCTCATTTGTTCTGATTTGTTGTCCTGTATCTATGTGGCAGCAGGAAATGACTTTTTCCATCTAATGTGTATTTTGTATATTTTTAAAGACAGAGTTATTCACTGTTTCTACTTGTTGAGAGAGGTGGATTATGTTCTGGAGCTGGCAGGCCATATGAAGAACTCTCTGGCTGCAGTAACTTCTCTTTTTCTTATATCAAGCAAAAAGAGTTAACTGCAGCTGTGTTAGTACAACATAAAAAGGGCATTCAGGCAGCCTGGCCCCACACTTCTGGTGCACAGTGAGCTCTGCTAATGATTGGCCACTACCAGACTTATATTGGCAACATAAAAACAAAACAAGCAAATGAACAAAAAAAGCACATGGACCAGTAGAAACAGAATTTGATTTGGAGACTGCACATTTTGGTCTGTCTGCTTAGTCCCTGTCTTGTGGATAATGTGTCTCAAAGGTAGAGAGAGGARGCACTGAGGTGAGCTCAGAGCATTCTCAGCAACCCAACATTTCTAGAGCAATATTAGGGCATACTTCATGAAGATGCTGCAAATTACTGCTCAAGACATTTCAGGTATGGCAAGACATTTCAGGTATGATTGCCTTTTGAAGATGCGAGAGGTGGAAGAAAATAACAGTTAAAAAGCTCTGCTTCTGTTCTATTGCAGTGTGGTTACAGGGCTACTTATTGGTGTGTGGTGTGAGGAAAAAAAACGTTTTTCCTCTGCAATACATTT